ATGCTTGGAAGAATCAGTGATTAGGTTTATTTACTGCACAATTTAATGTCAATTTAAAGTTTATCTCTAGCAGGCCCAGACTGGGATGAAAAAATAGGCCTGGGCATTTCATAATGAGCAGCCAATTTTTCTAGGGACTGGGGGGGGGGGGTGTTCACGAAGGTGGTTGGTGACACGATGGAGTCGGCCCACGCTATAATGTAAAGGGATACTGTGATAAAAGGGGGACTGCGCTGTAAAGGAGAATTGTAATGATTACAGTCCCCTTGTACAGTGCAGTCCCCTTTATATCAGAGTGTCCCTTTACATTACAGTGTCCTAGCAATCACAGCCCCCCACTACAGTGCCCCTTGCAGCCCCCTTTTTCTTTCTAATCACAGTGCCCCCTTTTCCTCTCTGCCTCCCCTGTCCTACCTTTGGCAGGGCAGAGGCAAGATTCAGCCTGTGTGTCCTCTCCAGGATCTCCCGTCCCACGGATGAAGTCATCCTATCACCAGGGCAAGGGGTGGGAGAAGCTGCAGATCCCGACCATATTAACAACCGACCTTATTAACAAACAGGTGATTACCCACTTATTAATATAAAAAGACTCTTATTGTCTGTGAAGATCTCCAGCTTCTCTGCTCTGCTAAAAGGATGACAACATTGGTGGGCGGGGAGAGCAGGAGGTGAGCAGTGACCACGGTCTTTGTTAACCCTGTCTGGACTGTGGTCACCGCTTACCTCCCACTGTGTGGCCCAGTGGTTGGGGACCCCTACATTAGTTGCAGCGGGAGTTGGGGGGATGCATCAGACAGCTCTAATGGTTGCATTGGTGTAGAGGGGCGACCCCTACATTAGCCAGTCTGGGTTACTACTCCTTTTACTCCTGTTGGAGATTGACCAGGATCTCTTAAGAGTACAAGCCAGCAACTCCTCAAATCCACCAACTGCCTCTCAGCTGTGACCCAAATACAACCTCCCACTGACTGTTGCACCTGGGCTGCTGTTCAGCCCCTGTCTAACAATTGAAGCTAGAGCGCCCCCTAGCTAACTAGGAGGGTGTTTTATATATATATATATATATATATATATATGTATATATATATATATACAGTATATACTGTATATATATATATATATATATATATGTATATATATATAATATATACAGTATATACTGTATATATCATAGTTTGTAGATGCTGTAACTGTCACACAAACCAATTAATATACAATACACATTATTGGGATTTTTTTTATAAAAGACGTAGCAGAATACGTAGCCTAAATTTATGAAGAAATTAGATTTTTTTAATGGATATGTTTTACAGTATAATAGAAAGTATAAAATATTGTTATTTTTCAGAATTTTCGCTCTTTTTTTGTTTGTATCCAGTTCAACTCCTTGGACGTACTAGGTACATCCAAAGAGTGAACCTTAAGGCCTTGTTCATACCATACTTTCAGAAAAACTGATGGAAACTGATACGCAGATTTCCCTTGCAGAGACATGAGTTTACATCAGTTTCCATGCACGCTTTAATGAGTTTTATACACTTTGCCAATTCCTGTGCAGAAAAAATCTGCATGTGATAATAGTGTTGTGGTGTGAACAGGGCACATAGAGAACAATTGATTTTGTTATGCCCTTGCAGAAAGCGTGCAGAAAAATTGACATCTCTGCATCATGGTATTATTGAGACCTTAATCACAAGCTGATAACAGTAGCAATCATCAGCTTGTTTGTTTTTTTGTTCAGCCGGCTGCCATCTTGAAAGTGAAAGTTATGCAGCAGCTCCATAGCCGCCGATCAATCTCACAGATCCGGCAGCATGGTAGTTACCCCCCCCCCTCCCGCCAGCATCCCCCCTTTTTGGATCTCTACTCTTACAGGAGCCAGGGAACATATCCGCCGACTAGGGGACAGAGAGTGCTGTGTGAGACCGAAGCAAAGTGTTGTCACTTCTGGCTTCAGATGCACACTGCCCAGTACAGCCTGGGGACACATCTAACCAAGCCAATCTGTGCTGGGTTAGATGGTGTGAAGGGTAGGGGAGATAATGGGGGTTTATTAGACCCCTAATGTCTCCATAAAGATAACCTGTCACCTGCCCAATGCTGTCACATAGAGGTTGATTAATCCCTTGTGATAATATTCAAGTAAAAAAAAAAAAAAAAAAAGGAAAACGTTTAAAAAATGTTAAATTATAATAAAATATTTAAAAAATTTACTGTAACCCCCTTGGCTCTAAACACAAGCCCAGGATGTGCACTCGTATGTAAACCACAGTCGCACCACACGTGTGACATATCACTGCAAAAATCAGAGTGAGAACAATAATTCTTGCACCAGAGCTCCTAGTTAACTCTAAACTGATGAGCTGTAAACGCATTAAAACATCGCCTATGGTGATTTTTGGACACTGTAGTTTTTGGCAATATTGCAGGTGTGAGCAATCTTAAGACATGGAATGTTTAGTATCTATTTACTTGATGTAACCTCATCTTTTATATTTTAACCAAAAATGGGTATTCGATGGTGTGTTTTTTTGCATTAAAATTAATTTTATTATATTTTTCCTGAAAATTTATGTTTAATAAACAGTTGCGCAAATATCATGCGACAGACAAAAATGCAACTATCTCCTTTTTTGTTCTACAGGGCCTCTGCTTTCAGAAAATATATAATGTTTGTGTAATTTTATTGCCAAAAATTCAGATTTTTACAAGTATGCAAAAAATAAAAAAAAATGTTCTGGAGCTGAACTGGATATAATAAAAAATAAAAAACCACCAAACACTACCAATAGAAAGCTCTATTTTTGCAAAAAAAAAAATTATATAAATGTAATTTGAGTAAAGGGTTGCATGACTGCATAGTTGCCAGTTAAAATATTCAGCACAGTTCCCTGGTCATGAAGGGGGTAAAACCTTCCGGAGGGCAAGTAGTTAAAAGTGCAAGAAAAAGCCAATACAAGTATTTCCCTTTACATTCTATGGAACTCTTCACACCAGTGCATTGCGGGCGTGGTGCATGGTTTGAAAAGTCCTGCTGCATTGAAAAATGCTGCATCTTTGGTGCCCTGTCTCAGAAGCTCTTGAAAAACGCACCTCCCTTTAAAATCATTAAAAACACCATGGTTGTATTTTTGGTATTCTTTTTGAGTCACATGTTCATGTTTCACAGGTGCATGCTGGGAGTCAGGCCCCCAACCCAACCCCCCCCCCCACCTGGGAGTCAGAAGCAGCAAACGCACCAAAAACACATCACACATTGTTTTGAAAATAAGCATACCATTTTTTTAAGCACACCATTGTGAAAGGGCCCTTAACAAAAATTTCAGTCTAATTTCACCTTATGGCACAGCAAGATAAAATCAGAATAAGCATGGTAAAGCTTGCCATACAACAATAGGATTTTGCATAAAATTTTAATTTTTGGAAAGTTCATTCAATTTTCTGATGGCTAGGGGATTTGAAGAAATCTTGAAGGAGCAGGATGGAAAAATTGTTCTTGAACAAACAAAATTCCTACTTTGAATGTATTTTCATTCAGGAAATTATACACTGTATAAACACAACCTGTTCAACATTTGTTGGGGGGTACACACTAGCATCTCTTCTCTTTCCTGGCTAGCCAGGCTAGATGTCTGGATAAGGGTTTAAATTTAGGGGGACTCAATGCTTTTTTTTTTTGCTTAGCTTAAAATCTATACCAGACCCTTATCTAGGATAACTGTTAGCATTGATTTTGGAAGGAAGTTTTTGCATGAGGACCCCCTCAAAATACACAGCAGACCCTTATCAAGGCAAGAAGTTTGGGAGGCCACATGCCCTACAAAAGAAAAAGCAATACAAATAATATGGAGTAGACTTATTGGACTCTGGAAGCCCCCTTTAATCCACCCCACCTACAGTGAGTTAGGAGTACATTATACTCCTTGTTACTTATGCACACAAAAAAATTACAAAGCCAACAAACACACACCACACATGGCTGGATGTAGCTTGTCTGATGTGGGGGTGCAGTAAAAAATGTCATTGGGCAGAGGATTGGAGGTCAGCAGTTTGCAGGGCAGTGTACAGGGGGCCAGCAGGGCAAAGGTTGGGAGGTCAGCAGAAGAGTGTACAGGGGTCAGAAGGGCAGAGGACAGTGGTCAGAAGGGCAGTGTGCAGGGGTCACTGCTGTCAGGGCAGAGCCTGGGTACAGGCAGCAGAGTTTCTCCTCCACAAACAGCACATTGCTGAAATTGGATTCCCTTACACAGCCATATTCTGCACAATGTGTAGCTGGCTACTGCAGCTGCACTGGAGTTCCGATCAGACAATTTCACAGGTCAGAACTGCAACATAGCAGCCAGTTACACACTGTGCAGATCATGGCTGTGTAAGGGAATCTGATTTTGGTGGGGAGGAGTTCAGCTGCCTGGCACAACGTCTGAGGTGGAGGGGGGAATGCAGGGTTGCCAACCCTCTTCATTTTTTTATTGACAAGACATGAAAAATTTACTGAAAGAAAACATGTTTTACTGACAACCTGAGAAAACGACAGAACAGAATAATGGCACCCATATGTGCGCTGCGCATGTTGCCGCACTTTGGAATCACAGGCAGAATTGAAGTGATTCTGCCTGCTATTCCAAATTGCCCCTTTAGTGGCAGAACATACCACAGAAGATGGTCAGAGAATGCAAACATGATACAAGAGATGGCCAGAGACTGCAGACATGACACAAGATATGGTCAGAGAATGCAGACAAAATACAGTAGAGGGTCATGAACTGCAGACATGATACAGGAGATGGTCAGAGACTGCACACATGATACAAGAGATGGTCAGAGACAGCACACATGACACAGGAGAGGTTCAGAGACTGCAGACATGGTACAGGAGAAGGTCAAAGACTGCAGACATGGTACAGGAGAAGGTCAGAGACTGCAGGCATGGTACAGGCAATGGTCAGAGACTGCAAACATACTACAGGATATGGTCAGAGGCTGCAGATATGGTACAGGGGATGATCAGAGACTGCAGACATGATACAGGAGATGGTCAGAGACTGCAGACATACTACAGGAGATGGTCAGAGACTGCATACATGGTACAGGAAATGGTCAGAGACTGCAGACATGGTACAGGAAATGGTCAGAGACTGCAAACATTGTACAGGAAATGGTCAGATACTGCAAACATACTACAGGATATGGTGAGAGACTGCAGACATGGTACAGGGGATGGTCAGAGACTGCAGACATGATACAAGAGAAGGTCAGAGACTTCGGACATACTACAGGAGATAGTCAGAGACTGCATACATGGTACAGGAAATGGTCAGAGACTGCAAACATACTACAGGATATGGTCGGAGACTGCAGACATGGTACAGGGGATGGTCAGAGACTGTAGACATGATACAAGAGATGGTCAGAGATTGCAGACATACTACAGGAGATAGTCAGAGACTACAATTATGTTACAAGTGTGTTTTAGCAGCGAGTGGTGCTTTCCCAGTGTGGAAAAATGTCGGTCACTGCACTATGTGTGAACAGGGCCTTGCAAAATATAACAAAGTTACAGAAAGCACAGTTAGGAGGACAGTAAATGGTTAATAAGTCTTTGAAGCTGCCAGCCTGACCAGGCTAAATCCTGCAAAGGCAACATAAAAGGAAACCATCAAACAAATCACAGAGGGCTCACACAGGACTCTATCACAAACAGCTCTATATAAATAGCCGAAAGCCATCACTAGTGATGTGTGACCACTTACATTTAATTATAATGCTGGCTACAGTGTCTTCAAGAAGTCTAATGATCAGTGTGTTCACCCATCCATCCATCTGGTGTACAGCTTGCTAGTGTAAATAAATAAAAAAAAAGTAGCCAAGTGGGACAAGAATGAGGGGAGTCATTCCCTAATCAGGGTGATTATTGCCAGAGCCCCACTGTGATCATTAGACTTCTCCAAGATGTTGCAGGCTGTAGAGTCCTCTGTGATTTGTTTGCTGAACATTAACATACCTTCTAGGAAGCCTGTACTTCATGTATTTTGCGTCCTCTCCAGGGGCGGACTGACAAGTCATGGGGCCCCCGGACAATAGGGAATCATGGGGCCCCTGTGTCCCAGCCCACACTCAAACCACACCCAAAAAAAGCCTATGAAAGATACCAAGGGCATCTCATGGGGCCCTCTACAGACCCTGGGCCCTCGGGCAGTGCCAAAATGCCTGAATGGTAAGTCCGCCCCTGGTCCTCTCCCTCCTGCCCCCATCCAGCCCCGCTCCGGCTGCCAGCATCTTCTCTTCTGAAACAAATGTGGCGGGCTGGGTTACAGTAATGTGTTATTGGAGGGAGGTAGAGCAACTCACTAGCAATCCCTCCCTCCTACTCAGATTGGTAGAGCTATTGGTTAACATGCTGCTCATCCAGAATTAAAATAATTTACAGATATTAGGCAACACTGGGGGCGATTGGTTTTAAGGGGGGGGCGCAAATTAAATCTGGGGGGGGGCATAACCCCCCCCAGCACCCCCCCTAGATCCAGCCATGACACCATAGAAAAAGTTATTGTGGCCAGTGATGTCAATCGGGATCCCCCAGCCGCTTTGTTTACAAACAGAAGCTGACGGGGAGGAAAATGTAATTTAGTGGCAAGAGTTTTATAATTTTTTTAAATGTCGTGCTTGCTGAAGTACATCCTACAGGTGCACTGCTTCATGTGCAGGTTTGAGGTATTCCCCAAGCATGCTATTTAAAGGAATTGTGTATTTCTATTGTTTCCCTTTAGGCCTCATTAAAAGATGTGCTTTTCATATTTTTTTACATTTTTTACCAAAACCTTGCAAACTGACTTTAAAAAATGGCAGAACAAAATAGCAAGATTCAGTTCCAATAGACTACAATGAAGTATGGGTTTTGGGTTTGCAAATGTTTTCAAGTATTTGCAAACATTCAGCAAAACAAAGTTTACCTGGCTATCTCATCAATACTATATATGAGATTCAGATTCGCTGCTACAGAAGTATTGAGGCGAGTTCAAGTTTTGAGACCCCAGCAAATTTATGTGCAGACTTCCCCGAAGAATTTTTTTTAAGCCATAATGCTCTTAATGAACTTTGAACTATAGCAAGTAAGCTTTGAAGGACCAATAAGGAGGGTTTTGGATACCCTTGCTATAACAGAGGACCACAAAGCAGTCAGATGTGCCAGTGAATTGAAAACTGGAAAGCACAATAAAAGCTGATAAACTAGGGAGAGATTAATATAAGTTAGGAAGTTGTACTTTTAATTCTGAATGCTAGCTGTTGGGGCAATCAACCATTTTGGTGCCTTTTTATTCTTACTATTGGGGCTCATTTGTTATTTTATTTTGTAGTGAATTTGAGGTCAATGGTCTCCTTTAGCTGCTGTCCCATCCATAACAAAGTTTTGTTTTGTTTTGCTGCAAGTGGAGAATTCACTTGTTACCTACCATCTTTTCTTGAAGCTTCCCTTGGATTACAGTATGCAGTATGAGTCATTTCAATAAAAAATAAAACTATATAATTAATAATTATATAATTCACTGCACTCTCCCATTCCCATCAATAAAAGTTAGGCTTAAACCAGTTTGGCCTAATATTCCTAATTAAAGCTGTTCTGCTGCCAGCCAGTTTTACACTATTGTATTCTCTGCAGTATTAAATTCATGTAGTAAAGCAACAGCCTGTGCTCTTTGGTTCTAGTAAATTTGGGCCAATCCTAGCCAATTTTACACTACTGTAATATCTATGTTCTTTTAATTCTTTTGGTCTCTAAAGCCCTAGTACATTGCGGCCAACTCTCCTTTGTTGAAAATGTCCCATAATTGGCCAATTTTACTCTGCTGTATCCTATGCAGTATCTTCATTCTTGTAGTAATACCCCAGTTTATGCTCTTTGCTTCTAATACATTTTGGCCTAGCCTTGTTATTTATACTGTAATTGTCCTGCTGCTCTCTAATTTTACACTGATGTGACATATGCAGTCTCTTAATTCTTTTAATGAAGCACCTGCCTGTACTCTTTTTCTCTAGTACATTTCAGCAAATTCTCTCTCATTGAACTTGTCCTGCTGCTTGCTAATTTTACATGGTTGTGTCTACTGCGTGTCTTAATCCTTACAGAAAGCTAGGGAGAATTTTGTCAGGGGTTTTAGAGTTTTGCATAAGTGAAAAAGGAACAGTCACAGTGAACTACTAGCCAATTCAATTTTCTGGTCAATTACAGTTAAACCGCTTCCCGACCGTCCTATAGCAGAAATACTGCTACAAGGCGGCACAGGTGCACAAAATCACATATGTATACGTGATTTTACATTTCCAGGTAGGGGGTGGGGAGGAGAACTGTTTTGTTTACTAACAGTTCTCCTCCCTGTCAGCTCGGGCACACTGCTTTGGATGGCTGCGCACAGCACAGCCTTCCAAAGCAGTATGATTACAGTGAAGCACACTGCCCCCAGGTAAAACACTCCCTGCACACAGTTAACCCTTTGATCACCCCTCATGTTAACCCCTTCCTGCCCATTAGTACAGCGTCAATGCTTTTTTTTTTAGCACTGATCACTGTAATGGTGTCACTGGGGATGTTAGTGACACCAGTCTATTATGAATACTGATGCTAGACTAATACACCTTACTAACTAATCAGTGACTGCTGCCCCTCTTTGCCAATCTCTTCACTGGCTTATTCTAGCTCATCATATAAAATTCAAAATACTAACCACAACATGCAAAGTCATCCACAACATCACCCCCAGCTACATCACCAACCTCATTTGCAGATATCGCCCAATCCGTCCTCTCCGCTCCTCCCAAGACCTCCAGCTCTTCAGTTCCCTTGTTACCTCCCACACTTGCCTCCAGGACTTCCCCAGAGCCTCTCCCATCCTCTTGAATTCACTGCCCCAGTATGTCTGGTCAGCTCCTACCCTGTCCGCCTTTACCCTCCTTGAAAACTCATGTATGCAGGGAAGCCTACCCCACCGTCACCTAAGAACTGTACTTGAGTCACCTTCATCAGATCATCCTCTTCAGCTATTACCTTTTTCACCCCCTCCCTTTAGATTGTAAGCTCCATGAGCAGGGTCCTCCTATTCCTTCTGTATTGAACTGTATTGTAGTTGAACTGTCCCCCTTTATATTGTAAAGCACTGTGTAAACTGTTGCCACTATGTAAATCCTGATTATTATTATTAATAATAATTACAATAATAATAATTTAAAGGTTTTCTGTCATTCCCATTGCTGTCCTCAAATCTGTAGGAAAAGAACCTCTCCCCACTGTATGGTATTTTTAGAAAAATGTGGTATATGTCCTATATTCCATTCCATGCCATGAGTTACTGTTCCTTGCACATCGTGATTACTGTGCCTTACCCTATTGCATGTCTCCATCTTTTATTCAGCAGGAAGCTGAACTCCTAGAAGCATTAAATCACAAAGTACCATTCAATCTTCTGAACACATGCAGTAGCTGGTTGTGGCACCATATGCTGTGTCCTACCAGACACTCTCTGTAACACCTGCAAGTTTATCAGGATGTTGGAGATCAGATGTTTGGGTTCTGGCTGGCTGAACAAGGAGAAGCTGGAAGTATGTTAGAACTGTTTTACTTATGGTTTAATAACAGAACAGACATTAAACAGAATGAGCATGGACATAGGATGGCTCATAGAGTAGCAGGTCATGAAATAACAAAAAAAAAAAGCATTGTTGACTTTGTAGATATGTGGCCTAGTGCTCCTTAACGTGCACAACATAGAACTTCAATCCATTTTAACCTCCCTGGCGGTATGATTATTTCAGATTTTTGGTGCTGAAAGCGGTACCATTTTTTTGCATGGAAATATGTATTTTTTTTATTGTAGGCTGTAATTTTTAGGAAAAACTCACTGAAATCTGTCCGAACAAGAGTCTAGTAAACATCCCGGGTATGATAAAATTTGAAACACAAAATCATAAATTATAATTTTTAATAAATAATCATAAAAATAATATAAAAATAATAAAAAATTGAATTCAATAATATAATCAAACCAAAAACACTGAAATGTGAAATAGAGCGCCAAGTTCGCACATTGCTGAGCTCAGTCGCAAAATCGTTTTCAGTTTCTGATGACGAATTTCCCCCACGAATCATTATCACTCAATTCTGTAAGTGGTTCTGATTTACTATCGCTGTTCTCTAGCTGATCTAAACCGCTTTTGACCTAAAGGGACACTTTTTGGACGCCATGGACATTTCTCAGTTTCCAGGCAGAAAGAACAGACAAAATGCAGGCAGGGCACAGGACAAAGCACTAGGGACAAAATATATGTGAAATAGGTTGAAACAGCAATGTTTTACTGTGTAAAATGAAAAAAAAA